ACCTTTCTTTGATTTCGTCATTTTAAACAAGACCAATTAGAGAATTTTTTTTTTTTTTTTATTTGCATTTTTACAACTTTTTTAAAAACACACAGAAAATGCATTTTTCATCATTCACTCCTTTTTTGCCTATAGATTCTACAGAAAATGAAATAATATTTTGCAAAAACAATCTTTTAAGAGAAACTATGAAACTAAACCTCCTTTACAGTCGAGGAAGCTGCCATCTTTGCCTGTGTTTGATCTGCAGATGTCATGGTGCTGTACATGTGATCAGTTATGACACCAGTCATTTTATGGCTTGACAGTTTGGTAGAGAGCACAAGCCAAGGTGACAATTGTCATTCACGGCTTGCCTTCAATGTGACCGATTTGGAAAACAGTGAAATCAACGGCTTAAAGAGTAATGCAGGCCATAGATGGTTTGTTTAATCGGCCGATTTTTTTCGCACCGTTAGTGGGGCAATGTCATCGGCCGACTTTTCCGGTTCCTCTTCATTTCTTTTATCGGTCATGCTGGAAAATTTGTGAAAAACGGCCGAATTTCGCAATCACTGGTGGCAACAGAACGACCGATGTTTCGTTTTTTGGCCGATAAACGAACTGTCTATGGCCTGCATTAGTTTGCCTTTACCAAAAAGTTGCCTATACCTTTAAGGGACGTCTGTAGATGAAAGTGGTGCAGCTTTGACTACAGTTGAATAATGCCCTTGCTATAGGAGTAGGCCATTTATGTTCCTTAACCACTGGCCCTCCTGAGGATTCCCCCCCCCCCCCCCCCCCCCTTTCTGACCAGGCCATTTTTTGCAATACGGCACTACATTACTTTAACTGACCCAAATTAAATTTATGGCCTTTTTTTCCCCACAAATAGAACTTTCTTTTTTGGGGGTATTTGATCACCTGTGTGGTTTTAATTTTTTGCGCTATAAACAAAAAAAACCAACAATTTAAAAGAAAAAAAAAACAATATTTTTGACTTTTTGCTATAAAACCTATCCAGTAAAAAAAAATTTTAAAAATCAAATTTTGGCATAAATGTAGGCCAAAATGTATTCTACTCCATGTCTTTGCTAAAAAAAAAAATCCCAATGTGTATATTAACCAGTTGCCGACCGCAGATAGCCAAATGACGACTGGACTGCGGGCGGCCAGTTCTGGGAGGCCGTCATATGATGTCCTCCCAGAACGCGCTCTCCTACGGACACAGCTGATCACGTGATGTGGTAAAAGGCCAGTCACAGCGGCCTTTTACCACGTGATCAGCCGTGTCCAATGACACGCTGATCACAGGGAAATGCAATTGCCGGTTCTCGGCTGCACTTTCCTCACGCTGTCAGAGCATGAGGAAAGTACTGCCGAGAACCGGCAGTTGTCAGAGCAGGGATCGGCACCGATCACCAATGCCCTGATAATCGGTGCCCAGCAGTACCATCCACCAGTTCCACCCACATGTGCCCATAACTGCCACCCACCTGTGCCCATAAGTGCCACCCACCTGTGCCCACCAGTGCAGCCCAGCAGTGCCGCCAGTCATTACCATCCAGCAGTGCCGCCAGTCAGTGCCCAGCAGTTGCGCCAGTCAGTACCCGTCAGTGCCGACGATCAGTTACCCATCATCAGCGCTGCCTATCAGTGCTCCCTAACAGTGCCACCTATCAGTGCCGCCTCATTAGTGCTGCCTATCAGTGCCGCCTCATTAATGCATATCAGTGAAGGAGAAAAATTAACTGTTGCAAAATTTTATAATCGAAACAAAGAATTTTTTTTTTTTTAATTTTTTGCTTTTTTTTTTTGTTTTTAGCGCAAAAAGTAAACCACCCAGCAACAAATAAATACCAGAGGAGCGGCGGGAGACCTGAATCATAGCTGCAGGTTGGATGCAATACTGTAGCAGTCTGGATTTGGCCTGCGGACCATGATTTGGAGACCCCTGGCATAAATGGAGAAAAAAGGAAGGTGTGACAAGTCAGAGAGACAATACTACATATGGTCTGTATGGACATATTGTACAACTGCTTCCGTACAGAACAGAAACCTGCCATAAGCTGAGCACAGACAGGCATTTTTTTAGTTGTGTCAAAAGCAGTTTTCATGGAAGGAAGCACAATCTGTAGCATAATCAAACAATTTCTAGCTATTTTTTTTCCTAACAGACAACTAGCATTGGCAGGATAAAAAGGATGCAATGAAAGCCCCAGCAGGCTTTAAAGCCTTTCTTTAAAATACTTTTGTTTTGTAGGCAGATCCCTGCACAAACATGGTCATTAGGAAAATTAAAGCTGAATTACAGGAATTCAGCCACTTTGTATAAAATGCTGGCACACTTTGAGTTAAGTCCAAGGAGGAGCATGACATCTCCTGGACTTTTCTCTATTATTTATATCTGACAGTTTTATGGCTCTGCTGGAGCATATACTGACACTTAAAAGAGGCACACAAAGCAGATATGCCTGTCCCTCTCCTCTGCTGCCCATTCAGAGAAGAATAAGTGCACATAATAAACAGGCTTCTGTGATTGGGCAGGAGAGAGGGAAGGGTGGGCATAGCATGCTTAGGCCTGAGGTATCAACGCTGAGATCCTGGAATTACAGCAATAGCCATCTTCTGTGAGTGCAATACAACGGTCAGAGACTGGAGCTCAGTTATTTTTGAGTTTATTAAGTCAACAACTAAAAGAACTGTAGTTGATGACTTTTAATAAACACACATTCACCTGTCCTGGGGTCCAGTGGATGTGCTCAACTGCGCTGTCCCTTCTCTCCCTTTTCTCTCGCCAGCATCTCAGCTGTGGGCACATGTCCAGTGGGTGCCCACTGCACATGTACAAGTCGCGCTGAGCATCACGATTGGTCCGGCAGTCTTCTGGGACCTGTGAAGTGTCCCAGAAGACTGCGGGGGGAAGGAGGGGGGGCCAAACTTCTGGCTCATTTCATCGCAGCGAACGGAGCCAGAAGTGGGAGCAGGTACCTGTCAAAACCAAGTATCTGCTCCCCCCCCCAAAAAAAAAACTATATTGCAGTGGAGGGGGGAAGGAGGCAAACAAGCAGACCTTCCACTTTTGAATGGAACTACGCTCTAACTCATAGTGTGTAATTCCTGGAATTCAGTTTTTAAATAGAATTGCATAGCAAACCTTATAAAAGCTGAAGTCTGCAACACTGAGGGGGTAATTTACTAAAACTAGAGAGCGCAAAATCTGGTGCAGCTCTCCCTAGAAACCAATCATCTTCCAGGTTTTATTGCCAAAGTTTAATTGAACAAGCTGAAGTCAGAAGCTGATTGGCTGCCGTGCACAGTTGCACCAGATGCTGAGTGCTCCAATTTGTAGTAAATCTACCCCTATATGTTTTTACATTTTAGCCCAGGTTCTTTGATGCGGCGCGGAATTCACAGCGTTCTATGTACGAATTCCACACCGCATCAGAATCGCACCCCGTTCCTGCAAACCGCTTCGGGTGTGTATGTTAAGTTAACAACACCCCGGACGTGGTCCGCAAAACGCGGTGCGATGTAGAGAGTCGGATCACATAGGTGTGAATACCCATGCGATCTGATTCTAGTGCGGACCCTAAAAAGGGTCCTGCACCTTTTTGGTGCGGGTGCAGTACGATTAGAGCCATACATAATGTATGGCTCCAATCGCACCACACTCAAATCGCATGTGATTTGCAGAGGAATGCGGTGCGAAATACCGCACCGCATATATGTGAGCCCGGGCTCAGGGTTTAATAACACTTTAAAAGGAGAACTACATCTAAAGAACAAAAAAAGTAATATATTGCAGTTATATAGTTTTTATTTTACTTTATTTTCACCTGGTAAACACTTCTCAGAGTGACACCACTCAGTGATTGCTTGTTTTTATAAAGGAGTAACGTTGCCATCCTAGGACAGGACACCTTCCCCTCTCCTCAGCTCCATAACATAGAGCAGGGGTGGGCAACTGTGGCCCTCCAGCTGTTGTAGAACTACAAATCCCATGAGGCACTGCAAAACTGACAGTTACAAGCATGACTCCCAAAGGCAGAGGCATGATGGAACTTGTAGTTCACCAACAGCTGGAGGGCCACAGTTGCCCACCCCTGACATAGAGGGAAGGTGTTTTGTAGTCCACAGAAAGAGATAGAAACAATATAATAAAGCGCAATCAGCAAAAAGAGGGAGCACAGAAGTTTCCCTGGCAGGATCAACATGATTTTTTTTTTTTTATACTGATTGCGTGGCCTTTTAAAATCACACAAATAAAAATGCCCATGTGCACCCAAGCCTTTGGGTGTGTTTACATTCCCTATGGCTTACACCAAGGTTGGGACCATGATACCGCAAGCAAGGGTGCCTAAGGGTCAATTCACACTACATGCATTTCAGTTGATTTCTTTCTGCATCCAAAATGCACAGAAAGTAGGTGATATGGTGGTCAGTGTCATAGTTCACATCAGTGCCTGCAGTTCCAATGCGTTCCAGTTCCAGAAAAAAAAAAGTAGAACAGGCTGCATTTTTCCTGCACAGAACTGTACTGGAATGCAGTTACATAGTTAGTCTGGCTGAAAAGAGACAAAAGTCCATCCAGTTCAACCATAAAAAAAAAAGTTATAATCCTATACCCACAGTTGACTCAGAGGACGGCAGTAAAATGCAAAACGCACCAAAACCGCACATGTCCCTATTTCAATTCAATAAAAGGCAAGGGGGAAAAAATTAGCTGTAATGCATAAAAAACGCACTGGAACGTGCCAAAAACACGTAAAAACCGTGCATGCAAAAACGCATCGGGACTGCATTTCTATAGTGTGAACCGGCCCTAAAAGAAGTTCTCCTCCGCCTTCATCATGGTATTTTGTTACTTTTTAATGTTCAAAGAAGTAGCAGTGCTGTAGAAATTGAGTAAAACACTTTACGTTTCCTATGACAGAACCTTACTGCATTACATACAAGCTCCGAGTGAGAATAGTTCATGCTGAATTGAGTCTTGGTAGGACAGCTACAGTCCCTCACAATCAAAATTCCTCGACTTCTTTGGCTTCATCGATAAGTTTGGTAACAGGGCTAAGGCTGAAAAAAGGTAAAAGATCCTGAGGGCCACTAAAATCTTCCACCAGCAGGTCTGGCTCCTTGCTGGAGCTACACCCTGGAACATTGTCATTCTGCATTGATGAACTGCCTACGTATGCATCGTCTCCCATCGTGGCCAGCAAATTAGCTGGGTCTAGCATGTCGGCTCCATAGTCGCTGGAAGGGAGATCAAACAGGGAGAGCAGAGGGTTTCCTGTGTACTGCATCAGCTGCTTCTCTGAAAAATAAAAGAAACACACACAATGTTAACCTGTTGTCTAGTATAGTCAACGGTCTCATCATTTCTCTAACCCCTTGCCCTCTAGAGGATTTCCCCCCCTTCCTGACCAGGCCATTTCTTGAGTTACAGCGCTGCATTACTTTAACTGATAATTGCGCGGTCATGCAACGCTGCACCCAAATTAAGTCTACATCATTTTTTTTCCCACGAATCGAGCTTTCTTTTGGTGGTATTTGATCGCCTGTGTGTTTATTTTTTGCGCTATACAAAAAAAAAAAAAAGACAATTATGAGAAAAAAGACAATATTTTTGACCTTTTGCTATTAAACATGTCCAGTAAAGTAAAAAAAAAAAAAAAAAAAAAAAATCAAATTTCGTCCTAAATTTAGGTAAAAATGTATTCTTGTACGTCTTTGCTACAAAACAATCCCAATACGTGTAAATTAATTGGTTTACGTGAAAGTTATAACATCTACAAATGGCGGTATATATATTGGGATTTTTTTTTTTACTTTAGTGGTGATCAGCGACTTATTACGGGATTGTGGCGGGCATTTTGACACTGCGGGGAACTGACTTGGTGTCACTCAAAGCCAGTGACGAGGGAGCGAGAGCGGGGCTATGTCCCACTGTCTGTGTCAATGGACGCAGACAGCAGGGCTCAGGAGCGAAAACGCACAAGCCATAGAAAGTGGAAGCCAATCGAAGCGAATGGGGGCACTGGATAGAGAGGAGGAGCCCGGAGTGCCAGTCAGGGACCTCCATTGCACAGAGCAGCCAAGTATGAACCTGTTTGTTATTTATAAAAAAAAAATAAATTAAAAAAATGTATGTTTAACCACCTCCCGCCCACCATATAGTAATATGACGGATGCAAGGTGGTTCTCTCGTTCTGGGAGGACGTCATATGACGTCCTCCCATTCTCACCGCGCATGTGCGGCTCAGGGAGCGCATAGTGTGGTGATCAGCGGTGCGCTGTGTCCCTCGGACACAGCGGATCACCGATCACAGAAAGAGCCAAAGATGTCGGCTCGGTCATGTGATCAGCTGTGTCCAATCACAGCTGATCACATGTAAATAGGGAAAAGCCAGTTATCGGCATTTCTCTCCTCTCCAGCTGTCACGCTGACAGCTCGAGAGGAGAGGAGAGCCGGTAATCGGCTTTCCGCGGAGGGGACATGTACACTGATCATCACAGCACTGATGATCAGTGTGCCCTGATGATTAGTGTAGCCCCAGCAGTGCCACCTGTCAGTGTCCATCAGTGCCTTGTGTCAGTGCCTCGTGCCAGTGCCCATCAGTGCCATATCAATGCCACTAATCAGTGCCTACCAGTGCACATCAATGCCACATATCAGTGCCCATCTGAGCTGCCTTTCAGTCTCAGTCACCCAACAGTGCCATCAGTGCCACCTATCAATGCCAATCAGTGCCAATCAGTGTGCCAATCAGTGCCGCCTAACAGTTCTGCCTCAGTGCCATGTATCAGTGCCATGTATCAGTGCCATGTATCAGTGCCATGTATCAGTGCCATGTATCAGTGCCATGTATCAGTGCCATGTATCAGTGCCATGTATCAGTGCTGCCTTTCAGTGCCCATCAGTGATGCCTGTCAATGCCCATCAGTGCCACCTACCAGTGCCTCCTCATCAGTACCCATCAGTGCCACTTATCAGTGTCCATCAGTGCAGCCTATCAGTGCCCATCACTGCAGCCTCATTAGCGCATATCAGTGAAGGAGAAAAATCACTTATTTACAACATTTTAAAACAAAAACTAAGAAAAAACTTTTTTAAAAAAAAATTTCAGTGGTTTTTGGTTTAAGAAAAAATAAAAAAACCCAGAGGTGATTAAATACCACCAAAATAAAGCTCTATCTGTCACAAAAAAATTATAACAATTTCAAATGGGTACAGTGTTGCATGACCGCGCAATTGTCATTCAAAGTGCAACAGCGCTGAAAGCTGGAAATTGGCCTGGGCAGGAAGGGGGTATAAGTGCCCTGTAGGCTAGCGGTTAAACAACCACTTTAACTGTGTGCCAAGTCCTCATGCACACTGGATGTTTTTATAACTGCAGTTTTGGGCATTTTCTTGTACAGCCAGTACACTCCCCAGCATATTATCCTATGTGTCCATGCACACATGGGCCGTAATCAGCGTTTTTTGGCTGGAAAAAACCTCCAGAACTAGTGGGTTTCTAGAGGAGTTTTTTTTTATCTGCAAAAATACTCTAATACTGAAAAACGCGGCAAAACCGGAGTTTTTGGATTTGTTTGGAGCAAAAAAACCACGCTAAAAAAACGCGGCTAAACGCTAATGCAAACACGCTGAAAAACCTGCGTTTTTAACGTGACGCTTTACAGCTAACACTCCCACTGTTATTATAACGTCCCGTGTGTATGGAGACTAACAATGAGTGGAGTACGCTGCTTTTACTTACAAATCTGACTGTTTCCCCCTACTTTTCAGGGAGAAGAAACAGCCAGATTGCTGTTCACCGTGTTTGTAAATACAGAACTTTGTGTGTGATTGGGCACAGCTGATCAGCAGGCTTCAGCTGAGATCATTGGGTGAAACATGCTGCCAAACTTGTGCTGTCACAGGTCAGTAGGTGGTAGTGGGGGGGGTGGGGGGGGGCGAATACGTTCCGCAAACCTGGGAGCAAGCTGGCAATGTGCATGTACATTGCCATTCCTGTACCTGCAGTTTATTTACTGCGAACGGCCAGCAGATGGTTAATTAAGCCCTGCTGTCAGAAACAGGCCCTTGAAGACAGAAGGCACTGCATACTGCATTCTCATTGCAAGTCAGAGAGAAGAAGCCACTGATTGCAGTATCAGAACATTCCATCACCTAGCAATCTATCATAATCACGAATGGCCAGAAAGATCCCCTGTCTGATGGTGGCTTTATAGTCCCAGCCCCCCGGACATCGTCACGAAAGCAAGCTCGGAACATGGAGTCACACAGGGGTGACTACTGAACCCCATTGCCATGTCATATATTCCCCCTAGTGATACCAATTTTGGAGTGCCATTCCACCCACTGATGCCAGGGTATTTACCACTCCCAATGACCACTGCAACAGGGACATTTAACACCCATCCAAACACTATGATAAATAATGAACTGACCCTGTGTTTAAAAAACATTGGGGATCCCTGGTACAGCTGGTAAAGCAGCCTTAGCCAGCATAAAATAGCCTGTCCCCTGCCAGCCTGGTGCAGAGAAGGACACTAGCTCTCTGTGTGGAAGCAGTAGTCAGAACTATGCTCCCCAATCAGCAGCAGGTGCACCTAAAGTGTTACTAAACCCACATCATTAAAAACTATCAATAAATGCTGTATTACATGCTGCCCCCCCTCCTGTCCATGTCCCCATTGCAGTTGGGGATTTTGCAGAGCAGTGTTGGCAGCTCTGCTCATGCTCCGTTTTCAGTTACTTTCTATACTGAGCATTATCTCATCACAGCTGAGCAGCCCATGTGACTAAAGAGTCACATGTGTGGGAGTATACACAGTGGTGAATGACAGCCCACTCCCTCCCTCATCCTCTATGCTCACTAACCAGCTAAACACAATGGAGGTGGGATATTACATGTTGATTGATGAAGGCTTCACCTCCCTGTTATTCTAAGACACAGGCTGGAGGGAAGTGACACAGCTTGTCACTGGCAGAAATCCGCCCACACCGTGGTATTGCCAACAATAATAAAGATTTGATTTCAAATATATATTTATATAAAAATTTAAGACAGTTTACTGATATTAAGTATTTTTACACTGTATTCCAAAGGCTGTTTTTTTTTTTTTTTAATTCTGTCATTTACAAGCAGCAGAGGACTAGAAGCTCCTCCTGCTACTGTTTCCCTGAAGGCAGGCTGGGAAAGAGCAGGGTCATGTGACAGCTGTATATCAATTAGGAACAAAAGTTAAAAATTTTTTTTTATTAAAATAATTACAACGCCATCATCCATATACAGAATGAGGGACAATATAAATGTAACCGTGTGTGTTTTGTATCACCTCAATACATCATTAAAACTTAAGTTTAGCTACACAATATGTTTCTCCCTACAGCTTTAGTTACCATACACTGCCTATAATACGATTTTCATTAGGGAAGAGGATCATGTGACTGATCAGACTCTCCCCCAATCATATATAATGTGACAGGCAGCGTAATTACTAAAAACTTTCCTCAAAGGAGCTGACGGCAGGAGGGGGCGTGTCCCAATCAGAAACACTTTACTGCAGCTGAACCCAGAGATCCAAAGCTATAAACCCCCACAGTGCCGGACGTTCAGCAAGCAAGAAGAGGACAGGGCAGCCCTGCAGAGAAGATTCCCATACATTGCAGGGCATACTTGATATCCCTCATAGGGCATATTTCATAATCCTCTTGTATTTCATTGTATAGTAACTGTATCTTCTTATTTATAGTCTAAAGTGTGTTGGGGAGATAATGTTACAGTCTCTAACCCGACCAGAGGAAGCCTTGTATTTATAAAACGTCAGAGTAGCACTCGGCTTGACTCGATTTTGGAGAGGAGAGGAAGTCCCCATACCGCTATCAGAAGATAGTGCTGTATTATATGTAGTTGATGTTGTATACAGTTCATACAGCGCTGACAGCAGCTGCAGCAATTAATCAAGTAAATAATTCATTTTGGCCAGCTTGGCCAAAATTGATCAGTTAAAAGCAACACAAAACCTGGAATTAGACTTTAAGGCCAAATTCTGGTCAAGTCCTGATTGAAGGAAGGCCAGAGTGTGAGGTACAGAGTAATCTCTGAGGTTGAAAAGCCTGTGTTCACACCAGGCAAAACATGATTTCCATGCAGTACATTTTAAGTGATTTTTCTGGTACTGAGTAAGGTGGGTCTTCAACAGTCATGCCAAAAAAGCACTGACTGAGAAACAGGATGAAACAGGGGGCCTTGAGACAGCAGGTCTGGCCTGTTCGGAAGAGGCTGGGTGCCATCTCTTAGATGT